GGAAGCCATTTGCTAATATTTTTCAGGGGCTCAAACTTTAATTTATTACATGCTTTATTTCCCAGTTTTACATTATTCTTTTGCGGGGGCTGAGTGGATTCATGGTGTTCTTTCCCATCTGTTATTATTTTATCTAGACTTTTAGAAATTAAATCTATTGTACTTGACACAAACAGTATCACCTTATTCATCCTAATTCATCAGTTCATAGAGTGGATTTGCACAGAATGCAAACTCTATAGGGAGACTGCTACAGGTGATTACAGAAGCACAAAAGAAATTAGTGGTCCCTAACCTTCATGAAAATATAGGAGCATTCCATCAAGGAAGGTTTTTCTTGAGAATAAGAATCTGGAATTTTGAGAGGAATTTACAATGTAACGGTTAAGAGTATTGGCTTTAAAACCAGAGTGTCTGGTTTCAGACATTACTTAGTCTCAACGTGCCTCAGTTTGCTTTCCTGGGCAATGGGGTTTGCAATAGTAATGAGAGGAATAATAATACGTTCAAGGAAGGAAGGTGATAACGTAAGTCGCATTGAGATTAGTGCCTCAGCACAAAAAGGCACTCGGGAAATGTTAGCCATTATTACTGGAGAGAAAATAAATACCTTCTTGCTCCCAGTAGTTTCTCTACCTTGCTGAAATGCTGTACACACATATACAACAACATAGAAAACCAAACACTGGATTTATGTTCCAAAACATGTTGGAGTTCACACAGCCATTGCTCTGGATTCACGACCTCTCAGCATAGACTTTGAGCTCAAGAGCAGCATTTCACCCATAACCAACTAAGACCCTATCTATCAAACGCCTGCCAGAATAATCCGCGTAACTCAAGTAACATTTCACATTGTGAAGCACACATCACCCATTCTTGTCCCTGTCTGCTCCCCACGAAGCTTTCAAACCCATCTCCTTTCCTGAAGTACTTGGGAGACTCTTTATTAAATACCCTGGTTCCTATTCTCTTCTTTATAAGGTGGCGATACGCATTTCCAGGAGTTCCCCCAGTTCTCCATTCAGTGCACAGATAGCCTGCCCTGAAATCTGTAATTACTGATCACACCATCCTCCTAATCTTCCTTTCTCTGTGCTCTATTCACCCAAGGCTGATTTGTGTCTTCTGTCAAAGTCCCTATAGATAAAATTGCTTCTCAATTAATGTATGTCCT